AGTCAGTCAGTCAGGCAACATACACTATGAGAATGGCATTTGACAAACCAAATACACTGAAGCATATTGTTGAAAAAACAAATTGTGTAAAGTTTGATTACTACGGTAATGCCATTAATTTGAATTAATGTAGATACCAAAAAAGAAAGACCTAGACAAATGTGAAAGTTCAAGGTTATTGCCCCAACCCTTAACAGCAAGGTACTTACAATTGAGTAAGTCTGTCAAATTTGCTCATCATATCTTCTGGTTTATTGTTTTTTTTGTCATCTGATGATGATGTCAAAGGGCTTGCAGCGTCGTCTGTAAGAGTACCTGGAGCTTTGTCTGCGAGGGAGCTTGCAGCTTCATCAGCAAGGCTTGCAGCTTGGTCTTCACTACTATCATGAGCATGATCAGACGAAGTTGTCGATTCAGGAACGTTTTCTAGTGATTTTGATGCACTAACCGAGATAGTTGGAAAAACTGATGATGATTCTCCTTCACTTGTAACTGTTGAATCTGGTGTGGCTGCAGTTGTACTTTCAGCAAGGACCTGCGTCTCTCTATACGGTACAGCAACGGCACAGGCAACTGCAGCTGTTGCAGCAAAGTTGTAGAAAGTGTTGCTTTTAGTACTAGTAGGTATCACTGGACTGCTCGAATCGATTGGAGGAGTGTCTGGGAGTGACGCAGCAGCAGCAGCACCTTGTAAAACTGGAGAACCAGCTACAGAGGAAATACAAATATTTGTTAAAAAAGCTCGTACTCGTCATAGACCCACCATAAACTAGAAATCTCAATCTATCCATCCATAACACCAAGGGCTGTGCAAAAAAAACTGTTTGCTATGGTAGACCATAACCTGACATTTAGGCGTAAGTGGCACCCTTGTTGGGCGAACAGTATCAGACCCGTACAATGGCTGACAGAATTGTGTAAGTTTCTACGTCATAAGATCAAAATAAGTAATATTTAAATGATTGCGTTACAGTTAATGAATTGTTCATTTACACAAGTCTATATTGGAGATGTATAAGTACTAACTGAATAAAGGAATACAAGAGAGTAGCAAGTGTTAATCGCAATTTTACCTTTGTCAACTTTTTTCCCCACAACCACCTTGACACCCTTCACACAAAATTTGCACCGTAATGTGTTGTCACAGAGAATACACAAGACAGTGCATAGAATTGATGAGTACCTACTTCTAGACATCTCTCAATTCATAACAGCAGAAACTCACCGACTAGATGGCCTTGTGGCAAGGTCTTGTGAGATGCAGGCTTTGTAGATGGCATCACTTTAGCTGCAGGTAGTGTTCGCAGACCAAAATTCTGGCTCTAGAAATAAATTTATTTCATATATTTTTAACTTTAAAGCTAATAAGTAACAAGTATAAAAAGACTAGACTAAAAACTTGTCTATTTGAATAAGCACCACTACCAATACCACCACTAATAAAGTTGCATTCCCACCTCGCAAATATATGAAACATCGCTTCCAGAACAAGCCAAAAACATAAAATGTGATATATTAAAAGTATACATTCTATCCTCGCTGCTCATTTCATTTTTTTTTATTATTATTATTTCTTTATTTCGGGTACACAACTCATAAAGTACACACAAAAAAGAAAACATACTAAAAAAAAACTATAACAAACATTTAAACATACAAAAGGCATCTGTAATGGCGCCAAAAGATTGATTTTTAAAAAGAATCGCAGTTAATGCAATCGGAAATTACTGGAGGTTCAATTAGGATAAATGAGCTTCAAGAACAAACAAAGCCCCCTAACTCATTTGCTTTAAATTCCTATTCTGCATTCAATTTACTTATCCACAATCTCAACATTTGATGCAATATATGGAGGATGGAATATTACAGATTTTCAAAAAGGGAATACAGCTTTAACTATGTGGGATGCCAACTTGAACATTGAATTTCATCCTTTACCTTACTTTTTTTTTATAAAATATTTTGATCTGGATTGTATCAAATAGGAAAACTAGACCAGAAATTAATAGAAATTAATAAAAATATTTTAGTATAATCTAAAAGATTTTGGCAGTAAAATGTTTAAAAGGTTTCATGCCTACAGACAATGATTAATTACACATTTTATATGTGTACACATGCAAGTAACTGTTAGTATGGTTTCATACCTGGGATTGAAGAAGTTGAACTCTGGATTCAACAAGGGTTAGGCGACTCAAGATTGTAGTTAAATCTCCATCAGTTGTGCCATTTTTATGGTCATCATGATTGCTCTGTTTGTTGCTCAGTTCATCTACAGTCTCTTCCAATTTGGTCAGTCTGCGCTCAAACATTGCCATTCTTTCTTCCACCACTCTTAAGCGATTTTCTTGTATATTGGACTGTAGTTGAGAGTAAATCAGACATTTTTAAAGAAAGCTGACAGAATGTATGTAGCAATCTGTTCGGAATACAACAACACTGAACAATTAAGTAGCAGTTCGTTAAGGGGCTTAGCCTGTCAGATCTGTCGTTGTGATATACAAGACAAAAATTTGCATCTACCAGTACACAACAGTTTTTCTTTCTTTCAATTTTACAATATTTTGGCAGAAACTCCCCCAAAATATTCAACACAACTTTTCAAACTGACATGTGTGCTGACCAAAAGCAAATCTACAGTAATACAAATATTGTTACCGGAACAGCTCCTCTGTCTAGTACTGGCGATACGTTAGCACTTTTGTAACCATCATCCATTGGCCTTAGCTCTTCGTCATCCTTGCGTTTGACACCAACTGGAATACTAATATCTTCCAATACTGCTTCTGATAAAAGACATGAATAGCGATACTAAATTTTGGTTCTGCAAATCAAATTTTTACATATGGATAAATATTTAATTCAGGTCACTTCAGATCACACAGAAACTAAAAGTGACAGACACCTGGACTGGACATGTGATTGTAGTCCTTTCAACATTAAAGAAAACGTCAAGCTAAACATAATGACCCCTCAAGAAAACGCTCCACAAATGCAGGTGAATGCAATTTACAGTTTTCTTTATATCACTTTTCATTCTCTAGATATTCAACATAAATTGATGAAAAGTTGAATATCTAGAGAATGAAAAGTGATATAAAAAAAAACTGTAAATTACATGTTCTTACATTTGCCAAGCACTTTTTATCTGGGAGTATTATGTTATTAGTCTTGACTTTCCCTTTAAACATTTTTCCACATTTTTGTGCTACATCTTTTTCTCAAAAACATTGATTAAGATTTGTACATGGAAAAAATGTGTCTATTTGGTTAAAAACAGAAAATTATCAAAAAAATACAATGGCCAGATTGTTGCATCAAAATGTTGGCAGGATAAAAGGATTTATCCAAATGGTTATTGTGGTGTCCTGCAATTAACAGTGAAGACTTACCGCTTTCTTCTCTGGCTGACTCATTAACAAGAATCTCCTCACCAACAGTTAAGGGATGATGTCTTTGAACAAGGTTTTCTGGAACAGGTATTTGGGGTAAAGTAACTGGAATACTACTAGCTTCCAATGTAGCACCTTTAATTTAATTAAACATTCTTAGTAAATTTCATTTATTGGTGAATATATACTACGACAATGATGGCTTGATATAATGGATGTAATTAGGCATGTCCTGGAATTGAAAACTTTTGGAAGGTGCAGGGTAAACTGAATGTAAAAAGTAATTTTTTTTTTTTTACTACAGAAAAAAAAATATCAAGTCTAGTCTATATGGCTATATTAGAAAATAAGTCCATAATAAAACTGTTCAAAAAACAAACATTACATTAATACTGCCACAGAATATTGTATCAAAAAAATACAATTTATTACACAGACACACCTCTCTTCCATTCATAACCACCTCAGCCTTGTGCAGTATTTAAAAAAAACAAGAAAAAAAACAACATTTGATCATGGAAAGAAAAAAGTTTACAAAAGCAGCAGCATTATTAAGTGAAGAATAAAATATTTTTTTTCTGCATTCTCTCTAAACTTTAATGATTGTCAATTCTCTAAGTTTCTTCTTCGTAAAACAGAAAAGTACATGTTATTCTCCGAGGTGGATCTACGTCCCAGAAATGTCTACGTTGCTAAGATGCATACCACTGTACCATGTATTTCTATGAGCTCTGCCCAAACTGCTGTAGAACACTGGTCAAAAAGCCAGTGAAAACAGCTAAAGTCACAGAAACAGCACAAACCCAACTTTAATGCTATCCTTAGCAACACAATTTATACATGTTGCACAGGAGAATCTCAACAACTATCCCAAAGTACAGTTTTCTAATAGTTTTTGACCTTTGTTTTCACCGTGATGGTTGCCAAGCGTTGAAAATGCCCGAATGTCCTCCCTCAAGATTTGCTCAATACTGCCAATGACTGATGTAGCAACTATAGAGGGCGCTATAACAGTTTCATGTATTTTTTTAAGGAAAATGCACAAATTTATGAAAAAGTTGTGGCCCATCTAATAGTCATTACCAGAAGACCATAAAAACCACTATCTCACCTGGTGTGAAAGACTTTGAAAGGAATTTGTTGCAATGTAGATTTGTCTGTAATGTAAATAAAGGTTCAAGTTAATATCATAATCAACTACTTCCGAAACGGACACATTCTCTTATTTTATCCTACCCGGTAAGTGGAAATCTTTATTTATGCTGTATAACAAACCCAGCTATGTTTGTCTGGGTTATAAGCAATAATAACTGTACCAATAAAGATGACTGCCAGTCTGTCATGAAGCTATCTTGGATTTTACCACGAGAAATCAACCATTAACAAAAGCTTTTCATTTTCATGGTTTTTAAACAGAAGTTTCACTTGCATCATTTTTAAATCACGAGTCAGATAAACCTGTCATTGTAAAGGCATGCTTGAGAGAATGCCACATGTTTAGATTCCAGTGAACACAGACTTTTGGGGGTCACAAAAGCATTAATGACCTTACATTGGCAGTTGAACAATCGTCAACTGTATTGTCCCATCTTTCTCAAAAGTCCACCTGACATACAAGTGATCAACCTAAATACATTATATGCATAATTTACCTTGGGTTTGCGAGATTTACGTTCCAGCTCCTGGTGTTTAGCTTTAATCAGATTCAAAATATCGTATGTTATTATGATTTTACGCTCTGTGAATCCATTTGTCATCATTTGATCTTTGGTCAATTTGGGTTTGTAAGAAAACAAATCTCTGAGAACCTACATAGAAAATGGGAAAAAAAAAACTAGTTCGGGAAATTGATCGAATAGACACTGCTGGCGCATGTGCACATGGTACAACAGTTTCATGGGCCAACATACAGTTTTGTGTTTGGACCGTAGCATTATGGTCTGGCCTGTACCTGGACTCCCTATCTGAACCAAAACTCTGCAACAGCTATACCAAACGTAGCACGTCTTTTTGATATTTCACTATAAAATCATGGTCTAATAATTTCCTCAACACTGAAACCAAATGCGCATTTTTGGAACTTGTCGAGGAAAAAAATGGTACAAAACACTAGTCATTTTTTTTCATATTTTGCACTGTTCTGAGTGTATACCAGGGCATACCATTTATAACATACGAATGAAAGATAATTGAATGTGAATTCGAGAATTATCGTAAAAATCTGTATTAGAAACCACATCCCTAATAGAAGTCGCACTCATTCTTTTTGAATAATTGAAAATCAAAAATTCATCATTCCTCATATGTGTACATGCTCTAATAGAAGCCGCATCCCTTCTTTTGCATTGAACTATTTTAATAGAAGCAGTGGTTTCTAATACAGATTTTACAGTACTTTTGTTTTGGCTTACTACCAAAATAATTACTGTCGTATTAGACTGAATTTCTATACATTTTTTCTTACTTCTGTTTAGTTAATATAAACATTAAAGGATTATTTTGGGCCAGTACAGGGTGATTGGCGGGATAAACTCCTACAAATATATTGCACAAGTCATTAACGTCTCAGTTGGCCACACCTCTGTATTTTCATTGCTTGGGTGTCAGCTGCACATTTGATAGCCATCTTGGAAAAACTGCAGTCACATGATGTTTGTGCCGTGCCCCACATAAAACAAACCTTTCCTACAAATCATGCTTTCCAGCAAAATAGCACTTTCTGTGTTGTCGATGGGCGAAGCTATGTCAATTCCTTGTGACTACTGTGTTTAGTAGTTGTGTAGTTCTTCATCATAGAATACATTTATATGGTAAAACATTATTTGTAATCAATGGACAATAGAAAAAATTTAAAAATATGGAATTAGGAGCAATGGTAGTCAAATGAAGTAAGACATGTTTAACCATTTTTTAAGACACTTGTTAAGTTTTACCTTTATATCATACTTACTCTGAAAGCAATCTCGACAAAACGCAAGTCTGACTTTCCAAACAATTCAAAGTTCTTGGACGATATAAACTCTGCTACTGGAAGGGAATATTTCAGGAACGCAAAGTGCCATAATGGAAGAAATGACGTCAGTCGACCCTCTGTGATCCTATTGTGAAAGAAAGACTGGTTTTAAGGATTTTTTGCAGCATTGAGGTAATCTGATGAGCTGAGCTGATGCTTTCCGTTGCTGTGCCAATACAGACCTGAGCTATATTATACCAAGTACTACCGGTATACATTTTACACCAAAAAAATATTTAATATTTGTGCTCGTTTCTTATTTAACTAATATAAACATGTTTCAGTAATTTTGTGATACCGGGTAATCGCATAAAACACCACACATGTCTTTAATATTCACTGTATAAATTTGTTTTGTACAAGTTTATAGTCGTTTCACCCCATTAGGGGAGGGAACACTGGAGGAGCAGGGTTAGGATTAGAATTATGCGAGTGTGGGTCTTGAAAAAATCCTATCGACCAATAGGAACAAATCGACCATCCACATTTTGCATGTTCCATATTAACAATGCAGTTTACTATATAATGGCATATAGATGATAGATAATGATAAATCGAAAAAAAAAATATCAACAAGTTGCTCTCCGAGTCTAATGAGCTGAATGTCTTGAGTTCATGTGCCAGTACAGGCCTGATCTGCATTATACCAATACTATTACCGGTATACATCTAGCACAAAACACGTATGTTTTATGGACGTGTTCCATCAGGTGTAGCACATCAAAATTGTCAAAAAAAAAACTCAAACCGAAGCCAGGAAATCGGAAGCTAGGTGTTATGTAATGCATTATCACACGGCGTACACTCCTTACTTACCCCTCATCAAAGATTTGTTGCGGATCATCAGACTGGGGACAGTACTTCATTTCTCTTAGCTGTCTTCTCAATTTTCTGAGGTTGTTTTTTATATCTCCAGTAGCCATGCTGAAAAGGTGAAACGTCAAAATGGAATTTTAGTATGTGCACAGTCCCTCACTGTGGTATGTGCTAAGGCTGTAGTGAACTTGTGTGGAACAAGTTTATTCACGTCAACTTCACGTCGTTGCGCAGTTGCACATCCATCACTTTATTTACTTACACGCTGGTTCACTCAGTAATATGCCTGAAAAACAATTGTTCAACTCACATTGATTTTTGAAAATACTTTCCGTCTATGAAGATTCCTGATAAACTGTTGTCTCAATAAGTTGTGTCACTACACTCGTGTCCACGCCACCTGGAATATAGTACACCGAAACACTTCGAATCTCGCGGACAAAATAAGATAAATGTGTTTTAGATACGTGATCGATGATTGGTTAGGATTTTGAACGAAACATTATTGCGAAGGGAGGGACCTTAAAATAATGCAGTGTATATATCAGAAATAAATTTAATAACTGATATCTAACTAGAAACTAAGTTGAAACTATATATTATACTACTATTTATAGTTATATAAATCAATTTTTCGAAGATATAATGTCACAATTATAGTAGATACAGAGCATCTACCCCTTCTATTTTGATGGTAAAAACCAGCACCAGCATTTTTGACCAATCAAGGATCTTTTTTCATACACATTGTGCCTGAAAAGATTGTTAGATTTGGGTACTCGGAGTTCAACACGGAACTTAAATTTACAATTTATATATTTCTTTATTATTAATTTGAAAAGTAATAAACTATTTTTATAAACTATTTATTATAAATATATACCGCCACGCAATTTATTTATTGTTTATAGCGTTGTAAATTCTTTGAAATTGGAGCTGAAATCTTACAACGTTTTGCGTAACCTTTAACTCACAAACACGCAAAGTCGGTCTTGTCATCCTCGTACACGCTGGAAGTAATGAGGTCATCGGGGAAGAAATAGCTTCTTATATTTGACAAGAACTGAAAAGAAGACACAAGACCGATCTGTGGCCAACTATAGAGACCCTGCCATCTCCCAGAGGTATGTAAAGTCAGTTGTATAAGCCCGAATGGGTGTTTTTGACGCAAAAAATGTGCATGTTTCGTTCGTCACGTCTGCGGCTGCAGTGCAGACTACAGTGTATAAGTATGTTTGCTCGGTATTTGATGTAAACAAACATTGGCATACGACGTAGCGGTAACGGCAATAATTTAATTTTCTCGGCTTACGACGACCAATTTAGATTAAAGAATTGGACGAACGTGCTGTGCCTTGAACAGTTTCTCTAAAGTTTATTTAATGCCGGTGAATATTTTCATGTTCTTGGAAGTTTGATTATTAAAAATTAAGAATACGAATTTCTAGTAAGTTGAGAGATTAACACAGTTTTGTACTGTACGACATTAACTAACAATCAATCTATCAACCCCCTTCAATTAAACTTGTTTATAATGCATTCAAATAATAATAAATATGTAGTAATTTCTTATTAGTTATTTATTTATATACCGGTATTTATTTATTCGCTGCATCCCATTCACAACATCGGTTCACCAATTTTCTTCAATAAGGACTTGATTTTCCAACTTTTCTGCAAAACGGACATTTACAAAAAGATTATTTATTAAGATGTTAAATTTATAAGAAACATGAAAAAAGGTACAAAAAGTTTCTATTGTCAGTATTGAGACTACCGGGTAAGTTTCTTATGTAGTTATGTACTACTCATTGCATACATGTATGTATGAAACTTATAATGTAATACTAGACCAGCTGTACACTGTTGCAACAGATATCATATTAGTTTTGTTTAGTTTTGTACTGCTCAAAATGTGTTACCCAGTATGCAATTGTAGGACAATAACAAATGAAAGGATTATATTTTTATTTATAACACAACACTGATTAGAAATAGTACAGCAGTGTCACTCACCCAAGTTTCATATCAAATTTCTGGCTGACAATTTAACATTCATTTATGATTTTGGCACAGTGTGTACGAGGCTGATCTCATATGTATTTTGCATGGCACATTAGAAATCAAGGAAACAAATTATTTTCTTAAAGTTATATTGTTGGTACCAGTTTTTTTGAAACCCTTGTCTTGTCAAGCAAAATGCTATTGTATATTTAATGCATCGGTTATGTTTCTCAAACATTTTTTGCCAATAACCCTAAATTTACAGAACATTTATGATTGGATTGTATTGTGGGAAAAATATGAAGCCTTTGATATGTCAAGTAGTATGTGTAATGTAGCACCTACAACATACCATACTCAACTATGTTAGCGCCCATGTCCTAAACTCAGAAAAGTTTTTATAGGTAAGCAATTAACCAATCAGAATGCTGTGTTGTACCAATGCAATTAGTTGGAAATTCCTGAAGACCTTCTGGTTATGCAATGTGGAATGAATTATCGATTTCAAAGTATGATCTGTCAGAATTGATTTCGGTGAATAAGCGGCAAGCTTTTTTCAAAAACTGGTGACTAGCAATTTTTGATAGGTAAACTGAATATGACATGAAGTATTGACCGCATTTCACTTTTACTAACAGGTCATTGTCAAAGTGTAGTTTAAGAATGGTTATCGTGGTCTACGCATTCACAACATATTCACAGCAGCCAATATCCAAGCTGTATCATATAAAAATGATTACCATTATTTCGGAAACGTTAATCAATGATCAAAGACCAAGTTTTATGATTAGACATCCGAATTAGGGCATTTTGAAGGGGATGAGTGCTTAGTCGAACGTTATCCCGAAAATAGAAATGTCCCAACAGTGGGGGATGGGCACTTAGACGAGCATGGGTGTTAAGTCGGTCGAGTACAGTATAAGATATCCACATTAGAAGTTGTTGTTTTTTTGTTTTGTTTTTTTATTTAATTTTTCTATTTTTTTTTTTTTTAAATATTTTTTTTGTGCCAGGCGACAGTTCCGGACATTGAGTGTCACTGTTGTCTCTTCTGACTTTTTTTCTGTATGTGCAAATTGCAAGTGCTAGTGACGACACATAGTGCATTTTGCCACAGAAGTCATATTCATGTTTGGGACTACATGACAGGGCTGTGTGGCCATCTCTCTGTCAAATGGCAATTTGTAATGCGCTATCCTTGTGTCGACCTGGCCCGATCGAACACAAACACCTGCGAGGTTCCCCCAAATGCCCAAAGTCGCATTCGTTAGTGAATGAATCTCGGCCAGTGGAATTGGCCTACCCATCGAGTCTGCGGCACACTCACCCAGGGTAGGGGTCGACCCTTTGATGTTCAGCCTAAGGTAGGATTTGAACTTGGGTCTACCGATCGTGAGTCTGGAACAACAACCACTATGCTACCAGTGACCGGTTGGGGGGGTACGTTTGTATCATGCTTTTCTAGCTCCGCTGTTGACTTTGTTGAGCGGAGCTTATCATTTGAGTGATTGTCTGGCGTCCATCATCTGGTGTCCGTCGTCTGCATCACTAGAAAATTTGTAAAATTAATACTGACACTTTTCTAATCACGCTTGAAATGTCAAAATGTGCCATTTTACCCTATGATACTTTTCTACTGGTACATATATATCATGTTTTTTTTGCTCCGCTGTCAACTTTGTCGAGCAGAGCTTATCATATGAGTGATTGTCTGGCGTCCGTCGTTCATGTCAACTTCTTGTTGAAAACCACATATCTGATTGCTTTGTTATTATACATATAGGCACCTCAGCTGGACCTCTACCAGATTTGTTCTTTTTGTGGTGATACGTTTAATTTTCTAATTTTGAAGAATATTTTTGTCATTTTTGGTAAAAAGTTATATTTTCGACTTCTTGTTGAAAACCGCAAGTGGGATTGCTTTTATATTATACATATATATACTACGGGTGGACCGCACTCATATTTGTTCATTTTGTGATGCTATAAATCTACAGATTAATGAAACCCTGAGCATACTGACAATCATAAATAATCTTTGTTCACCAGAAAAGGACGATGTATTGGGATTTCACATGAACTATTAAATTAAGGAAATGGGTCAGTCCTTGAAAAAGGCCAACCTGAATCACCGTCGACATCACTATACCCTGGTCACAGACAGACATAGAAGCATCTTTGAAGAGTTTGAATGCCGATTTCCAGATATATGTGACCTACCACCAGAGTTAGCACTCATTGTATTGTCAAACCTCAACGCAACTGAACTGTGTCTAGCAGCATGTGTCAACCAATTCTGGGCTTCTTTAGCAAAAGATGAGATGCTATGGGAAGGGTGAGTGGCGTATATTTATTTCCGAAAATAATTACTGCGAGCCACAGTAAGATCGACGAAAATATTCAAAAGCATTGTCAAATTACATTGAAACCAAAATTCAAAACAACACGATCACACTAACATTCGGACATGCTAAAATTGAAAATTAGGCATTTCACTTTATATTCGTGCTGCCAATAAAGCTTTATGTGATGACATTTACTGTCATTGTCACTGTTGTGCCTATTTACAAATGGGTTAATCTATAACTGTGGATTTTTGAAATTTACATGTAGTTTGACATTTGCCCTTTACCACACGGCTGTGACTGCAACACAGTAGTCAGAATAACATTGAAAGTTTGTTTTGTTGGGGGGAGGGATAACAGTCGCAGCCACTGCATTTTTGAGTGAAGACAAAAAAGTATAACATTACCATAATTATATCATATTATATGATATCATATTTTCTGTATAATTATATATAACTTTACCTAGAAGTTGGATTACTCGTTTTAGCGTGACATAAACTAAACATTAACTAGACACGCTTACCATTGATTGATGATTACATATGATATGGTAGGAAAGCACTGAGATTTTGCTTTACTTTTTTTAGCCATGTAATCAGCTACTGTAAAATACTTTATTTTAGCTGGAATTAATTTTCTTTGAAAAGACTTTTCAGGTGTTTTGTATGGAATTTATTTTCACTGAATCAATCCTTCAGTGAAAATAGAGTATTTTACAGTATTAGAAAATACCAGTTTTAAATTGAAAAATATATGAAATTAATATTAACCTTTTTTTCAAAAGGATTTCTTTCATTTAAATTATAGTACCTATAAGTAAAACAGAATATAAATTTATTTTTTTAAAAGATAAATCCATGAATAATTTGACTAACTCTAATTTTATCTCAGTATTGTCTGTCTTTCTTGCAATATACCGTATTTATCCGGGTATAAGCCCAGGGTCCTGAACATGGAAAATTGCCAAAAAGAAGGGGTGGGCGTTTGCCAGGAGATCCCCGGCAAAAAAAACACGAAAATTCGCGAAAATTAACAACACACAGATCGAACTGCGACAGGGAATAGAATGGCAAATGAAAACATGCAACGGAAATAAATGAACAATATGCAACACTAGAAGTAAAACAAAAATAATGTATTGCTTATAATGTGACAAATAAACCAGAAATAATAAAAATCTACAGTGAGGAATCATTTGAATTAGGATTTTCCCGCCGCCAAACACGCCCAATACATGTGAACTCAAAATGAATTAAAATGTCTGGGGTTAAACTGCGTAAAATGATTTCCAGTCTCGACAAATTACGAATCAACCGTCAAACAAGATCAATAATAATTTACAAATTTACACAGTAAAAATTATAAAAATTCATAGCTGTCAGATCTTTATTTGTACGTTTATTGCCATCTTCATCAAACTCTCAACCCTCAATTGTCCAAGTCAGCGGCACACTCACTGTAGCTGTCCAACAAAATCCCTACAACTTATTCCTGAAGTTCGTCGATATCGTCCCACACAATTCGGACTTAGCACTTTTAATCCACGGATTTCGCAGTCTGTCAGCTTGGCACTTTTCATTCATGTCCAATCACAATAAAGAGACAAGAAAAATGGGGACGCTTTGCTGCGATGGCACACGATGCTTTTGTTTACAGTCTGGCAATCATCTTTGACTTTTATCCATCTGATTTACTGATTGGCTAAGAATGACATCACTACTAGTATTTCATCATAAAGGTCATATCGTGACATTGCTTTCTTATCAGACTCGACGCTTATTAATCACGGTGAAAGTTATCATTCAGCAAGTTCCGGCGGTTGGAATGTCTCACTATGTGGACATCGCGGTGGACTTGAAATAAGAAGTTTTTTTTATCCAACGACAGAAGAATAGTTTTCATGACAGAAATGCAATAGCGGTGATAAAAGATGGTAAGAAAGTTGGCAGTCTTTGGCGTGACATTGCAAAATTGCTGGCCCCAGTTATGGATTCGCAAGCTGCGACAAAATATTTATATAAAGGCCAAAATAACGTGATTTCAACTGTTCTCCCCGGTACGCGCTGCCCTGAAAGCAGAAAGCTGTCACAGCTATTTTGCTTTCACCCCTTGTTTTACGCAATTAACAATTTTTATAAGTATCACTACAGACTTTAAGAAAGTCAACTGTTAATACAACCACAGTCAACGAATAGAAAATAGTTTTTTTGTTTTGTGTAGAAAAAGACCCCCTGGATAAGTTCCTGTACAAAAATATAGTATCAAGAAATCTTGTTGTGGCAAAATGTTGCTTATCACCTATTTTCCATTTGTTTCTCACTGTTTACTGTTGATATTTAACAGATTTCTTAAAACATTCTAATGGGGAAGAGACATAATGTTGAAAACAATATTGCTGTATTTATCTGATACATGTGTATTGCCTTGAGCGATATTTTAGATAATGGGAAATCACCAGACATTTTGACATTTTTTTCTTAACATTGTTTTATAAATGTACAGCTAACTATTTTCACATCCATGCATCAACACAGATGGGCTTTCACATACAGTAGTAGTCCAATCTACACTTGGTACCATGAAAACCAGTGAACTCTACTAATTCATGTATTCGATCAAAAAAAAAAAAAACAAGTTATTTTTCCATTATTTATTTGTTTTTGCACCACCTAAAAATATTGCCCATTTTCTAAAACATTTTCCTTCGGTGATATTATGCAGTAGGCGTTCTTTTAAATGAATACTGTAGTTGCTGAACCTTATTGTGCTGATACGAGTCCCATGCAATGTATACAACAGATATATTAAAAATACATGACTTTATTGGTACATGTATAAGAATTTTTTTCTGTTCCAAAATCTGTACCATTCCTAATTGTTTGGGACCCCAAAACAAAGGAGTAATATGTACTTCATTAGAGATTCAGCTTTGGTTTCTTAAAACACTTTTTTAAGTTTAATTAATTTTAAGTGATCATACAAAAATTTAGTTCTATATGCCTAAAATACTATTGTGAAACTGATTTTGTTACTTAGAACTTAAAAGATGAAATTTTTAAAATAAATATGGATCATATGGATAATATGATATTATTAATCTGCCACATATCAATTGTACTGTAAATAGTGCGTTCATGTTAAAGATCTCGGAATGTGTCCAGACTCTGGGTAAAGTTGGCACGTGCCAAAACATGTGTGTGAATGGTCAGAACCAAGTTGCCATGTGCCAAAAAAAACTCTACCTCGGCCCCGATAGATGCTCGGCATGTGCCGAGATTTTCTGCCCGAACGCTCAGCGTGAACCGAAATCACGCCCCCCGTGGCGAATTTAAGAGAACTTATATTTATTCACACTAGTATGATATGATGATAGAGGGATGTGAAAAATCAAAGTAAAAAATAATTGTTTTTCAAATTTTCTTTGCCTTTCAAGTGCACGATGATTCCTAATAAATACCATAATAGCAGATGGATATAATTTCAATATAGGTAGCAATTGTTTTTAACATTATATGCATGTCGTTTTCCAAGTTTAGGTCAAATAACAGATCTACGAATGAGAACGTAATTTCAGCACGAGCTGAGTCGTTCCCAAGTTTGTCCC